CGGCGCGGCCGGGGGCTCTGCGCCCGCAGGCGGCTCAGGCAGAGGGGCCGCCTCGAGGGGAGCACCGGCCTCCGTCTCCTCCGGCAGGCTGGCAGAGGGCCGCAGGAACCCCCGCGGGTGCATAAGGGGGGAGTGCGTCACCGGAGAGGGAGGCAGCGACTTGGCCCGCGCAAAGGGCGCCAGCTCGTTGTCGGATGACGAGGAGCTGCTGGAGGAGGCGCTGGCGTCGCCGCGCAGGTGCCGGGCCACTCCGAGAGACGGGCTGTCGGGTGGGCCCTGGAGCAGCTCTGGGATGGAGCGCATCACCAGGATGGACTTGTAGCTCATCAGGGAGCGCTGGAGGCGTGGGGACAAGGGGCGTCAGCCGGAGCCCACTGCCTCCTGGCTCCCCGTGGGCCCAGATGGGGGGCCCAGGAGATGGGGGCGTTAAAAGCCCATGTCCTCATTCGCTACACCCCAGGACTCTGTGGCGGTGTCCCTGCCCCGACTGGAAGCATGTGCGGCCCCACCTTGTCCTGACAGCCCAGGGAATGCAGATCCTGAAAGAAGGATGCCCGGCCCCTGCCTCCCTGAGCACAGCCAGCCCGGAGCCTAGACTGCCTAGCTTCCCCCCCTGCCTCCAGGCCCCTGCGTGCNTTACCTGCCAGCGGCTCCGGGCCAGGAGGAACTTGAGTTGCTTGGTGTTGATGAAGTGGGCCTCCTCTGCGGGCAGGGACTTCTGGGGGGTCCAGGTGAGAAAGCCACATCAGGGGACACCCTGGCCCTAGGGCCAGATAGGCCCACCCCTCTTGGTCTCAGTTTTCCTCCCTGTTTGCCAGGCCTGCCAGATTCAGCCTACTCACCAGGAACCAGGGGTGGGCAAGGCACTGAGCTGCACTGGGCCGGTTCCTGTGGGGAGACCAAGCCAGGGGTCAGGCCAGGGGTCATCTGATCCCCTGAACAGGTTATGGGGGAGGAGAAGAGGGCATGTACACTCACTCCGGGGCTCTCTGCAGGGCAGCCTTGATAAAGTCCTGAGCGTCCTGGCTGAGGTGTGCAGCCACGGGGCTGCTCCAGGACACTCGCCCCTCCAGCACATTCAGGAGGGTTGCACGGTCACTCTCACCGGCAAATGGGGATGAGCAGGTTAAGCTGAAAGCACAATGAGTGTCGGGCACTCAGGCATGACCCCAGATTTCTGGGTCGCATGGGGTTGGTAGGTGGAGCCCTTACTGGGATGGCCTCTCAGTGCCCTCAGAATCCCAGCAAGTGTCTCAGACTTGCCCAGATATCCAGGCTCAGCCTGGGGTGGGAATCTGGGCTCAGCCCGGAATAGACACCAAGGGTTAGCCCGGGGTGGGCACCAGGCCTTGGCCTGAGGCTGGAAGCAGGGCTCCACCTGTAGGGGAGACTCAGGCTCAGTCTACACACCAGCATCCTCCTCGGGGCAGCAGTAACTGCTATGAAGGACCTCTGTACAAACCAGCCAGACCCTTTGGAGAAACAGCTCAGCACTGTGCCTCACGACCCACGACCCAGAAGAGCTCCTCTGGTACAGGGTATGTGTGAAAAGCCCTGGGCCAAAGCCTCTTATCAGAGCTGGCCCACTGTTTGTTTCCAAACTAGTTGTTCCTTGGGTCTCAGGTCTCTGATCTGGGGAGGGCAAGCGGTGCCTGTGACCTCCCAAGGGCCTGCGCAGCGGGGTCTGGGATTGGCTTCTGAGGAGACAGGGCAGGGTCTGCTCACCTGAGGTAGGAGATGACCCCCATAGCCCTGTGGAAACAAAACCACACCTGTGAGTCACCCCAGGCCTGGCCCACAGGTGAGGGGCGTGAGGGGGATGGGAGCTGCAAGAGGAGGGAAAGCTTAGAGCAGGAGGATGGGCTGGCATGGTGGCTTTGTCCCTGGGGGCCCACCCACTCACCAGATGTCAGAGGCCTCGCTCACAGGAGTCTGCTCGATGATCTCAGGGGACACAAACTCAGGGGACCCGTATTTGCTATACTTTGGCTCTGCTGAGGTGATTTTTTGGGCAAAGCCAAAGTCGCAGATTTTAATGTCTTCCCGAGCAGGATGCACCATCAGGATGTTGGGGGGCTGTTGGGCAGAGCCATGAGTGGGTGAGGCCTCAACCTAAGGAGGGGACTCCTTGGGCTGCCAGGTTGGGGAGGAACTGGGGAGTCCCATGGAGATGAAGAGGCCAGCGGGGGTGGGGGGCAGTGGGCTGCCCTGGGGGCAGGTTTAGTACCATTTGGGGACAGCCTATGCTCTACCAGAGCCACACCCCTGAAGGGACTACTGGTAAAGTAGTGAGCTCCTCGTCCCCAAAACTGAGTAAATCCTGACAGGAAAACTGGAAGTAGTGGGCCTGTGCTTGTAGGCTTCAGGCTCCCATCTGCCCCTCCAGGGGCTCTGGGGTACATGGGAGGTGGGACAAGTACCTTTATGTCCAGGTGGAGGATCCTGTGGCTGTGCAGGTAGTGCAACCCCTCCACCAGCTGCTGGATGTAGACCTTGACCTACGGTGGCAAAGGCCATGGCTCAGGTGAGATAGCCAGCCTTGACCTTCTTTTCTTTCCTCCCTGCCCTGCTCCTCTAGACCTGGGGCAGTCCCACAGGCAGTGCATACAAAGTGTCCCAGAGCCCACGTTGCCTGGGCATGGGGACTCCTCTGGGCTCTGAAGGTGGGGTGGTTTTGGGCAAAGCAGGAAGCTTGATGTTTCAGGAGCACGTGAGGGTTGGCCCACTGGCCAGGTACAGGCTCGGAGGGGGAAGTGTGTGAGCCCCAGCCAGAAGGTCTTTGAGAGTTGACTAAGGAGCTGTGACACTTTGTGAGGCCCTGGAGACCCCCAAACAGTCTCTGAGCTGGGGCACACTGTGCGAGAGGGGAGGCTGTGTCTGCTGGGGCAGGTGGTCAGGGCAGGGGGAGTAGGGGGCCTGGAAGGGTATGTTTGCAAGAATATTGGTTGGGCAGACAGCTCAGGCTGCAAAGTCACCTCAGCTTCTGTCACCACACTCTTCTTGAACAGGCGGTCCAGTAGTTCCTCTGATGAGCACCTGGGGCTCAGGTCAAGGAAAGCTCTGGGGTCTGGAACCCACCCAGCTCCACACCCCATGGCAAGTCTTATCTTGGGGTGGGGGGTCCATGCTGGGGAAGTGGGTCCTCCAGGTTGAGGAGGGTGTGTGGGACACAGACCTTGAGGAAAGGAGCTGAGGCCAGTAGCCAGGAGCAGAGATGGAGTAGAGGCATCCTCTATTCTCTGTATAGAGCCCCCACCCCCTGCAGGGGCAGGGGTCGCTGACTGGTGGAGGTATGGTGAGTACATGTGACACCCAGAGACTCTCAGCTGGGCAGTAAGTGATGGGGTGAGATCCAGAGGGAGCAGGGAAGGGGTATGCCCCTCCCTGAGTGGGCAATGTGGGAGCGCCAGTGCTTGGGGCCTGAGGCTGCCATTTAAGCAGTCTGATCTGCTGGGGAGAGTCCACATGGAGCATGGGAGGGGCCCAGGCATGTCTCTGGACGCAACCCTGCCCACATTCCTGGCTGAAGGGGCAGTGAGCTATGAGAGGGCCGTGCTTGGGCTGGTTAGTCACAGCATCACAGCATGGGAGGCCCAGCTGGCTGCCCCACTAGGAAAGCAGGGCCGAGGACATCAGGACCACAGGCCCCGCACACCCTGTGGACCCCTGCTCTCCTGAGGCATGCACCCTCTCCTACTCTTGGGGCTGAGGACTGGATACAGCTCCAGGACAAGGATGAGAGTTTTACGAGTCTCAAACTGGTCCAGCAGCCTGGTAACCAATGGGTGGCTCAGCTCTGCCAGCACGTCTCGTTCCCGGTAAGCCTGGGTGCGCGTCTTGCTCCGCAGGGGGATGAACTTTGCAGCGCAGGACATCTGGTTGCCCTTGTGCTGCACCCTCTTCACGAAGCCGAACACACCTCTAGGAAGAGGGGAGCCCATGCTGGACTCCTGAGACTGGGCTCCAGGGAGGTGGCTGGGGGTTCCTGGCAGGCAGGGATTCCGGAAGGGCAGGGGCAGGGAGGAGTGGGTACTGGGGAGGCAAGGGCTCCCTCGAGGTAGGGTTCCTGAGATTGGGGCCTCCTGAGGATAAGAGGGTACTGGGATGGGGGATTGGTCCTTCCAGGAAATGGGAGCTCCCAAAGGGTGGAGTAGCAGTTGATAGGTGGGCAGGATTCCTGAGAGGTGAGGATTCTGAGAGAGCAGGGCCTGGGGGGTGGACAGGGTTCCTGGGGGTCCAGAAAGTACTAAGGGGTGGTCTCTGAGAAGTGGGGTTCTCAGGAGGCAAGGGTTTCTGGGTGACCAGGGCTCCAGAGGGCAGGGTTCCAGGGGGTGGGGCCAGAGGCTCTAGGGCTAGGAACTCTGGGAGGCT